CATGGCCATGTGTTACCCCGGGCCTTTTCCTTAACGGAACCGTGCACCAACAACGTAGCCGAGTACAACGCGTTGCTCATAGGGCTCGAGTTGGCCAAAGAGTTAGGGATCAAGCATCTGGAAGCTTATGGTGACTCCCAACTCATCGTTAAACAAATTGTTCGCGGGAAAAATTAAGTCTTTCTAGGATGGGCTACTTCTGGCCTGGGATGGTTACTGACGCAGTCGCTTATGCGAAGCGATGCTACGAATGTCAAATCCACGCCAACTATATGCACCAGCCTCCGGAGGACCTGCATCTGACGAGGGCGTCTTGGCCTTTCGAGGCATGGGGGATGGACATAGTTGGGCCAATTTCTCCACCGTCGGCGAAAGGCCATCGCTTCATCCTCGCGATCACCGACTATTTCTCTAAATGGGCCGAGGCCATCCCCTTAAGAGAAGTCAAGACTAGCGACGTGATCAAATTCATCAAGCACCATGTCATATACCGATACGGCGTACCCCGGCGTATCATTCATGACAACGGCACGCAATTCGTTAGCCATGCATTCACCAGGTTCTGCGACAAATTCCGAATACAGAACCTCTCTTCCACGGCCTATAACCCTTCAGCGAATGGTTTGGCCGAAGCTTTCAACAAAACGATCATCAAGATCTTGACCAAGCTGACTTCCACTAGCAAGCGCGACTGGAACGAAAAGCTAGGCGAGAGCCTGTGGGCATATCGTACGACGGTTCGCACACCGACCGGCACCACGCCCTACTCATTGGTATACGGCTGTGAAGCCGTATTGCCATTAGATATTCAAATTCCATCCCTCCGCGTCGCCTTAGCAACAGGAATGACGACCGAGTAAAATCACCAACTGCGACTCGCAGAGCTCGAGGCGCTGGACGACAAGCGACTAGAAGCCAAGCATCACATTGAGTTCTATCAAGCTCGAATGGCCAAGAACTTCGAAAAGAAAGTTAAGCGCCGAGCCTTCAAAGAGGGAGAGCTCGTGCTCTCCGTTCGCCGACCAATGATCCTCACTTCCAAGAAGAAGGGGAAATTCCAGTCCAAATGGGAATTATCGCCTCGTCAAACCGAATGGCGATAAGATCATGATGCCCATCAACGGCAAGTATCTGAAGAAGTACTACCCCTAGTTCTCCTTCACCAACTCCCATAAGTGCACGAGTCTAAACTGGCCCTCACACCCTCCAAATGGTACAAGAGGTAAAACTATTCCTACACTTCAATTTCTTGGGCCAGCTTGCCAGTACAGGCGAACTGTCCAAATCAGGCGAATCGCTCAAATCAGGCGAATCGCTCAAACCAGGCGAAACTAGCATCCCTGGCAGACGGCATCAAAAGCCCACTCGGTCAAACCTTCAGATAGTTAGGACCAAGGCCAAAATCGCTCACCAATCCTCTTCTAAAGGATGGTGGGTCCTCAAAGTCGTTCCAATCACGACATTCCCTGTTACGTTAACATTAAACCTCTGACAAAATCGCTCACCAATCCTCTACTAAAGGATGGTGGGTCCTCAAAATCGTTCCAATCACGACATTTCCTGTCACGTTAACATTAAACCTCTGACACAATTCACTTGCCAATCTTCTTCAGAAGAATGGTAGGCCCCCACAGTCGCTCCAATCGCGACGAGACCCCATCAAGTTAATAATCACCTCTGATGATCGACGTCGTTATTCCTACGAATAGCACAGCCAAAGTAATAGCCTACCACGCAACGTGCTATTACTTCTGTCAGTAGTCATACTCCTACGTCCCTGAACTATTTGACCTATCCCAGATATTCTAACATTCCTTTAGAATAACTGATGGGTAGTAGTCTACCATGCGATGGCTCCTACTGTAGGCATATAAAATTGTTTATAGGTCCCTTAGCACAGCTCGGCATAAACCGACGAACCAACGAGGCGACGAGGTTGACGAATCGCACGCAAGCAACGGAATACATCCATTCGCGTGTGGAATCAAGCCAAGTGTTCGAAGAGTCAACGAGTCATCCAACCAAGGGCAGACTCGGACGAATCACGATCGAATCAAGATCAGTTTCGGACTTGAACTCAGAAGTGGATTTACTGCCAAATCAGGAATCGGATCGACTGCCAAATCAGGTCAACGAGTTAAGTCCGGATAAATCAACCACAGAACCGAATCACGGA